TTGTTAATATTTATATAATAATTTTTAATCATAATTTTGCAAATTATATAGAATTCGTTTTTAATTTTTAAAATTATAGTTCTTAATTTTTAATCATGGTTATATATATTATTGACTTCTTATATTTTGTTATCAATTTTTTTTTTATAAATTAAAATTTTCTGAATGATGACCGGTGATTTTTTTTTTTTATTTCAGACTCAAATTATCTCTAAGCTTTCAATTGAGAATTAGTTCCGTAAAAATCAAAACTTGAGATTTTACAAGGAAATAAAAACTCTAATTAGGACAATTAAAAAATAATAATTTGTGCATTAGTTTAATTATATAAGTTTCTATTGTGTATGCTAATATTTATAAGAAAAAAATTTGGACAAAAAATTCATAATGAAAAAAATATTTTACAACCTTAGGTTAACATGTCTTTGAAAGTTTAAAAAGCAATATTTAATATCTATTCGCATAAAATTAATTAATCTAAAAATACGTCTAAATTTGATTTTTTTAAGAGTTTAAGAAACATATATATTCTTAATGTAAATTATTTTAAAGTCAACTAATTAGAATTTATTATTGATATAACTTTTAAAATGATTAATATAAAAATTAATAAATTTATTATACATAGTATTATATGGTGACTATGAGATGATAATAAATCTATCGACATACTGTAGTATAATTGATAAATAATCATATGTTTTTAAGCATGTAATTAGTATCTTAAATGAATTTTAGTATATTGAGATTGGGATTTTTGACTAAAGAAACACCTTAAGTTTATAATTAAAAAAGATAATGTAAATATTTTTCATATCATCGGTGCATGTATTTATTTACTTATTTTTTAATGTATAATTATTTTTTTTTTGCGATGCTAGTCGATAACTATTATTATATAATTTAATAATATTTGACATCACATGCATTTAATTACGTCAATATCTTAGTTAATAAGAATGTGAAACTTTTTGTACCATATTAATTTATTTTTTTTAAGAATTCCTTATACATATATTTTCGTTGCAAAATTTGTAACATATTCTTAATTATTTAGAAATGATTCTTTATATCAGTCTTAAGATAATTATTGTAAAATGTTAATAAACTTACAATAATAATAATTTATATAATTGAATGATGACTTATAATAATTTATTATTGTATATATTATAATTATTATTATTATTTAAAAAAAAAAACTCTAGAATCACATGTGAGGATAGGAAAATTATCAAAAGAGAAGTAGAAAATTCTGTATCAGTATGCAACTATGCATGAACACACATTTTCCCTCCCTTGAAGAGAAATAGAAAATAATATCAATAAAGATAATAAATGATATAAAGAAAATTAAGTTTGGGATAGAAATTAAAAAAAAAAAAAAAAAAAAAAAAAACGAGGCCCAGTTTTGGGTCATTTTGAGTGGCAGCAAGAGCGGTATGGAAAAAAAAAATAGAATTGAGAAAATATTTTATTTTATTTCTGACATTTATATAATTATAAAATAAACCACAAAATCAAAGAATCGGTGGTACAATTTAGTGCCAAAATTTGTTTCTTCATCATAAATTTTATTTATATATATATATATATAAGAAGAGATTCACTTGCTTTAAAAGTAAATTTAATTAGACTTATTTCACTTGATAATTTATGTTTTACATCAAATTTCAATAGTCTAACCGTTGAATTAATTTTTTTTAATGTAAAGAACAAGTCTGCAAAGTTTTAAAAAAATTTAAAATTATTTGATATTTCATTTCATTAATTCAAATCAATATAAAAAAATATTTTTATGATTATTTGTCTATTTTAAATAGTTAAATGATGTATCAAATAGTTTTTAATTTTTAAAATTGTTTTCAAACTTGATCTATGTATTAAGATTTTTTAATTTAACGATTAAATTATTAAAATTTGATGTAAAACATGATTATTAAATAAAATAAGCCTAAGTAGGCTTATTTTTAAAGTAAATAGATCCCTCCTTTCTATATATATAATTATATATTAATTCTTTTAATTTAAAAAAGTATATAGAAAAATAATTTTAAAATACTAAGTGTATAAAAAAGATAATTTTATAATTATTTATTAAAATGAAAACTAGAAATAAAAAACATTTTATATTCCCAAACATGTTTATGGATCCTTGCTTAAAAGATGGGATTTAAGATGACAATTTAACTTAAATTTAATGGATAGTTACAAATATCATTCCTAATAAGTAAAGTTTTTATTCATTAGATAAGTTTATATTTTATAATTAAGATTTAAAAGATTTCTGAATATTTTTCCATCAAGTTAATTAATGTGTTTTATTTTATAATTTTATACATCTAATTTTATGATCCAATTTTACATATCTAATTTCAATATATTAAAATAATATTCTTTCCTTATTATCTTTTAAGAAAATATACTTCATTTAAATAAAACAAGGATTATATATGAAAAAAAGGAGAATAAATTTAATTATCAATTGTGGACACATAGATACTGAAATTTCTAAGTGCATGAATTTGATAAAGATTAGTCTACTCTGTATTCATAATTCATCCCAGTTAAGAAAAAGAAATTTGAAGATGCAAATCATGCAATAATTGATAAAGCCTATACATTGTTGGGCTCGTACATAACACAGGCTAAGCCCATATATTATGTAATTTTAGCATGGAGAGGTTTTCCAGTTAAACTAGACATTGAAGTTGAACATCAGACAAACTATCGAGCACGTGTTGGCTCAATCGATAAGCGAATTGTCTTAATCTTGATTAGGAATAAAAGTTTACAAGATTTGGTCAGTTGGACTTATCATTTTTTTTATGATGATATAAAGGGGCTAAAAGGCCAAGTTAGACAGGCTTATCTTATCTCTCAGGATGTCAACTGAACTCCTATAGGACCAATGATATTTTTCTCTACAAATTAAAAGCCAAAGACCAATAATATGTCACACCCTGCACTCGCCATTTTGTGGCATTTGAGCTTCATTATTTTCAGAAACGGATGATGGCTTAAATGTATTTTAGATTTGGTTATTGGCGATGGATATATATCTTGAGTGAGGGAGCCATTATCATTTGTAGCTGCTAATGAGAGGGGTTGTAAGTAGCATTGCTTGCTGTAACAAGTGTAGCCATGGCTAGCTAATTTCGGACACACAACATACGTTGTTGAAATACAAGGCATGGCAAAACGTTTGATTTAGCTAGCAACATCTTGAAAGCATTTGTTGATTACTTACGTTTGATATACAAGCAGTTAGCTTAGTCTTTATAGGCTTGCAAATTAAATTAGTATATAATGTTTTGGTCTGCACCGCAAACCTATAATAAAAATATGAAAAAGCTAAATGAATTAGGCTTTCATGAACGTCAAACTTTTGCATGCTAAATGCAGAAAACCAACATATTACGCATGGTGAGGAATAAGGAATACTGTCGTGGCCGTGTTGTGAATGGAGCAAGCATTGAGATTTGAGAGGCCATTATTGATGTTTGATGACACATATATAATCCTTTACTCTTTCCTTGTTTCTGCGTTGATTGCGGGGTTTGTAGAGGGAAGTTGAGATTCTGTTTGTTTGTGTGATTAAGTTGTCATGCGGATGGATTCTAATATATATATCATTAGGGACACCACTATATATAGTCTATAGGATGCAAACATCATTGCTACACTGCTAAGGTAATCATATAGTTTCACTTTAATGATTTACGCTGTTTTGGATTCGTGCCATTCTAACCTCTTTGATGTGACAGTCCCGTTTACGATCTACTTGTCTCTCCCAACTAACTGTGACACCAAAATTACTGAGGTTAATGACACTACTTGTATACTCTTGCATTGCATCGTATTATATTATGCAGTACGAGACTTCAAGCAAAGGAATGCCTTCACAGTATCTATTTTGTTGCCGTGTTCCATTCTGGTGTTAAAAATATTTAGTTCTTATGTGCGAACACTTCACCACTATGATAGAATCTAAATAGCTATAATTTTCAAAAGCAAATTGCAGCTGGCTTCAACTCATATATAATTAAGAGCACGGGTGATCTTGGACTTTAGGATAAAGTGAATTTCTTCCACATCATTATTAGGCTTCAGGGAGATGAGATATATAAATATATAATTCGTTAAATTTAAATATGAACTAAATTTGCTCAAGCTAAATTTTGTAGCTGCTTGGCTGGTATCATTTAAAAGACGAGCGACGAATCGATAAAAAAAATAAAATTATAAGCCCTGTTAGAAGAATTTTCTTCTAAAGAACGAATAACAATTTAAAGACATTATAATTAATGTATTTTAGCAATTAAAAATATTTTAATCTAAAAAAAATTAACATATGAAATAATATAAATTAGATCTTATACAATATAACAAGTAATTATTTTTAGTTAAATTTTATAAATAAAAATAGAGGTGTAGTATTTATTTCTAGCCAAATCCTCATAATTAATGATAGTAATATTATTTGTACAGAAAAAACAAATCTGTTTTATTATTAATATCATAATAGTACTATATGTAGATAGTTGGCAATATTGAATGACGCTTTCAAGAATGAAAGAAATGTAAGATAGTCACAAGTCATTACAGGATTAAATTGTAAGAAAAATATGAACATTAATTTAATTTTCCTGAAAATCAATAATGCTGAGAAATATTTAACACTTAAAGTGAGAAGTGAGAAGGATTACACAACTTTAACCGAGAGTTTGAGCAATCACCTATAATCTATTCCACTTTCCAATTTTCATATGTAATATAGGTGTGTGAATAGAGGATATGATATTGGTGGGTTTTAATTTGAAAGAGAGACATAAAAGTTAAAAGAAACGAGCGTGGGATGATAGAATCACGTAATCATTGTGTGGGAAAACGGATGAGGCTAAGGCTAATTGATAGTAAGCAGGTGAGCGTGGGGAGCCACTAAAGGGAATTATGCTGAACTTTGTATGGGCACGCATTATTTGAAGGTTAAGCTTTCCAATATTTTGGAGCTATAAAAGTGGAAGCCTCAACGAAGAAGCAGAGCAGAGCCTACAATAATGGGTTGTAGCAGTGTGAGTCATAGCAATCTGAAGAACGCTATCATAGCATTCTTGGTCCCTCTACCCTCCATTCTATTCTTCCTCTCATTCAAATCAGCCTACTCACAATCTCCATCTTCTTGGTCAGCTCTGTGGACATGGTGCTATCACCACCCTTTGCTATTAGCCAACGTCCTTTTCTTCTTCAATGTGAATTTCCTCTTCTGGCTCATCGGCCTAATCCAATCCACCCACTGGGTACACTTTCCTCTTCCCTTGCCTTCACTTCACAGTTCACTCATATATATATATATATTGACATGCAGCTTTTGGTGTTGGTGCAGATGATTGACCCGTATTGGACAGTGATACCTGTGATGCTTGTTCATTACTATGCAAGTCACCCTTTGGGTGAGTATAACTGGTTGAGGTCGAGGGTGGTGATATTGCTGACTTGGGTGTGGAGCATTAGGCTGATCCACAACTACTTCAGGCGAGAAAAGTGGCAGTGGGGTGCCAGGGAGGATTGGCGTTTCACTGATTTGAGCCAACAGTATGGAAGGCTTTGGTGGTGGGCTTCCTTCTTCGCCATCTACGTCCCTCACCAGGTTACTTAATTAGTTAGCATTTCTTGCTTTTATTACACGCATGAGGCATAGGCATGAACATGAACATGTGCTAAATTTGCAGGTGCTTCTGATTGGATTATCACTTCCGTTGCATGTAATCCACTCGGTGAATGAGCCTTTGAGCATGTGGGACTTGGTAGGCACAGTTGTGTGTATCTGTGGCGTTGTCATAGCGTACACGGCTGATACTCAGCTTTACAACTTTGTGAGTAGAAAGGAGGAGGAAGGAGTAGGGGTCCCTATTCTTGAGAAAGGGTTGTGGTATTACTCTCGGCATCCCAATTACTTTGGAGAACAAGTGTGGTGGTGGGGACTGGTTGTGTTTGCTTGGAACCTGGGACATGGATGGACTTTCATAGGGGCATTGGCTAATACCAAGTGTTTGGCTTATGTGACCAAACTTGTGGAGGACCGAATGTTGAAACAAGATAACAGAGCAGAAGCGTATACCCTCTATCAGAAGACAACTTCCGTCTGGCTACCTTGCTTCAAGTACTCTCCTTTAGAACTCAAATCTAAGGATGCCTAATTCATCTTCTTTCTTAGTACTCTACTCTCTGTTTCTTGCTTAGTTCATTCTACTCTCATCACCAACTTCTACTTTATTTTGCCTCGTTTGCTCATTATGTGAGAGGCCCATCAGTTGGATCAAGCTTCTGTACTCACTCATTTTTGTATAATATTTATCAGTAATCTAATCCTAGCTCTTCATTGCATATATTATCTTACTTTATCTTTTAAATCACAAGGTTTTTCCCTGTATACAATAATATATCTTTACAAATTTTGGTCATTTAAGTAGGTTGTACTTGGATTATTTTTTGGTTTGGGATTTTGTTTACACTTAATTTCTTTTTTTATCTCTTTTTAAGATTGTGTTTTACAAAGAATCAAACTCAAGTCTTCCACCCACAATTCAACTACAACTATGACCACTAATGTGTTTTCAAAATCCTCAATTAAAATATTTTTATCTATAAAATACATAAACATATTTTATGTAATTTTATATTTATTAATTAATTAAATAATTTGACTAACATTTAATAAACTAAATTAACAATTTTAATTCAAATTAAATCTTTAATTTTTAACTAATTTGGTAACTTTCAATCGACTTATTTATCATTATTATTTAAAAAAGTAACCTAAACGTATAGTAAATGTAGTCCCAAATGAAACCATAAATCTATTCTTACACTATAAATTCCAAATATGAGATTCTCATTTTTCATGTTCTTTAAATAAGATTTTTTTTAGTATTCTCACTCTTTTCTTTGTTGGATACTTCCCTCCCCGTATGATTTATTTCATAATCAAAGTTACGATTTAAATTTTGGATAATTTAATTAAAAAATACAAATTTCTACCACTCGTATTCTCCAGTAGTATTCCTTAAATTAGTATATATTATTAATATGGCATTGTCACATTGTATTTCTTTCTATCTATGTAATTAAACAATAAAAATATTTAATATTCTTCAAAAATTAATAATTAATATAATATTAAAATAATAACAGGGATAATATAAATAATAGTAATAAAATGTAAAAACAATAAATAATAAGTTATTACTAAAATAATGATAAAGAAAATATAAAAATGCTAATAAAGTATACGTATAAATTAGAAAGAAAACAAATGTGACAGACGCATGGTGTATTCATGTGTTTTGTTTTTTAAAAAATTAGTCCATAAACATGATTTATATGTTTTTTTAAAATTAATAATTAAGAATTAATATGTTCTCGTGAAAAATGACTTCAACCGAAACAACATTATTTTAACACATACCAACATTGGATATGGAAGTGGAAAGTGACTTATGTCAGCATTATTTTAACACATATCAAAATTAAACATAACAGTATTAACATCAGTTTTAAAAAAAATTTAAATCGAATCGAACCAATTCAATGTATAAAAGTAGATCGGTTAACTAATTCATATTTTATAAAATGGATTGATTTCATTTTTTTTAAATATAGATCAATTCTTTTGAAATTAAATCAGTTTGGTACGGCATAATTATTCATTTTTTCTTATATATAGATTAGTTTTTTTTTTCAAAAATTGAACTGACAGAACCGATCTACTTTATAAAAATGGATTAGATAATTGAATTGATTTTGTAAAGTAGTTCGATTTGAATTTTTTTTTTCAAAATGGATCAGATTTTTCAATACAAATCGGATCAGTTCAGATTCGTTTATATTTTTTACACACTCCTAATGAGTATCAATATATTTGATAACGTATAAATTATGAAAAATAATTTTAATATTATAAAAATAAGAATGTTAAAATACTTTTTATAGTCTTTATAATTTTATTCACTTTACCTTTTAATCCCCATAATTTAAAATAAACAACTTAAGTTTCTATACTTATTTTTTTAAAATCTTTTTTAATCATTATAGTTTAATATATATCTTTTTAATTTCTATACTTGTAATTTTTTAATCTTTTAATTCCTAACATTATTATTTTCTTTTTGTAACTTGTCTCTTTTGTGTTAATGTAATAGAGATATGAATTTAGGGATAAATTCAAATTTTTGTGTTTAATGTAGAAATGACAATACGGTGGAGTGAGTACATGTTTCAATATCCATGTCCTCGTTCCCTTTCTCATACCATATATTCATTCTCATTTCAATATCTGTTAGGTATGAAATTTGCATTCCCATTTCTATCTTCCCATTTCTATCTCTGTCAAGTATAGGATATATTTGTACCTGATAAAAATCAACTCATTTTTTTTACAAAAAAATATTAATTTTTTTTCAACATAGAGTAGTAATTAAAAAATCACATTAGTTAAATTTTATTTAAAAAAATAAAAATACGTAAATATCAAATAAAATAGATTGAGTTTCCAGAAATTTCAAAGTGAATACAAGTATGAGACAGTATGTCCATCCTTGTCTCCAATTTAATAAATTGAGTATTATTTGTATTCGTATCTATATTTGGTCAAATTGAGTATTTTTTTTGTCAAACTTGAAGCGCGTTTAGGATTTAGGGTTTAGACATTATATACAAGTATGAATTTACTTACAAGTATGGATTTACTTGTTATCCATAATTTATTATCAAATTTATTTAGTAGAGTTGTTTTAAATTATGTCTATTAACATTTTGTACTCTCACTTCTAATGCTTATTGTTGAGACACATTTTCTCACTCACAATGTTAAATTTTTTTACTATTATATCAATATAAAATAGACGATGTTAAAAAAATTAATAATAAAAAATTAAAAAAATATTTGCATAAGAACTTAAAAAGATTGTAAAAACAAAGATAAAGAGTAAAATAATTCATTTTAAATTATAAAAATTAAAAGTTAAAGTAAAATTTTTTACGAAATAAAAATATATGTTTAGCAAGTCTAGTTTCTTCTATCACAACTTGGTTTTTGCTCCCATGTTGACCGCGTTTACTTCTGGTTTGTCTTTGTCATAACAGTGAAACTTGATTTGATGATAAACAAGCATATGGTTAGAATAGGCATGAAGATATGATTTTGGGGGTGGGTATGGCACTCAGAGGAAAATGGGTTTTGATTCCACTCTGTTGGTTCTGCCTCTTTCCGATTTGCTTATCGGCGGCGAAGGAGAAGCTGCGGTTTGGAAAAAATGGAGAATTTAAGATCTTACAGATTGCTGACTTGCACTATGCTAATGGGAAGACTACTCATTGCTTGGATGTGCTTCCTTCTCAGTATGCTTCTTGCTCTGACCACAACACCACCGCCTTCATCCAAAGGATCATCCTTGCTGAGAAACCCAACCTTATTGTCTTCACTGGTATGCTATCTATTGCTATTTTTTACTTTATTTACCTTTCTTTCTATTTCAGTGCACTGCTACACGCTTTGGTAATGGGGCAATTGTCAACTGAATTTGAAGCAATCTTGGAATCAATTCACAATTGATAATTAACTGTATGGAATGGCACATCTCAAATTCTCATTAGCTTTTTGAACTGAAACTGAAACTTTCCATTATAGCCACTCCTACTTATCAAAGATCATGACTTTATTCTAATTTCCTTGACTGTTGGAGTTTGAATTTTTACTTTATTAAACAAGTTCCAAATTTCCTTGACTGTTGTGTTGATAAGATTTTTGCGTGTGACAGGGGATAATATATTTGGATATGATGCCTCGGATCCAGCTAAATCAATGGATGCGGCATTTGCACCTGCAATTGCTTCAAACATTCCTTGGGTAGCTGTTTTGGGCAACCATGACCAGGAAGGATCTCTCTCCAGGGAAGGGGTGATGAAACATATTGCTGGGATGAAAAACACTTTATCTATAGTCAATCCTCCGGAAGTTCACATAATTGATGGTTTTGGGAACTATAACTTAGAGGTTGGAGGAGTTGAAGGAACTGATTTTGAAAATAAATCAGTTCTCAATCTGTATTTTCTTGATAGTGGAGATTACTCCAAGGTTCCCTTCATTCCTGGCTATGGTTGGATCAAACCATCTCAGCAACTTTGGTTCCAACGGACATCTGAAAAGCTTAGGGTACTGTTTTTTTACCTGTTCCATTGACTAGCTATATTTTGGCTACTGTACATTGTATCTTAAGATCCACGAAACCGTTAATCCTTTTTCTCTTTCTCTTTTTGTTTAAAAGCTGGTTATGGGTGGAAGATTCGTGGATCTTCATTAGACGCAGCTGATTTTTAGTTCTTTCCCTGGATAAACTTTGGATTACCTATTTACTCTTTGTTCTGCAGAAAGCGTACATGAATGGACCGGTGCCTCAGAAAGAATCTGCTCCTGGTCTTGCATACTTTCACATCCCATTACCTGAATATGCTAGTTTTGACTCATCAAACTTCACAGGTGTGAAACAAGAAGGCATAAGTTCTGCTTCTGTAAATTCTGGCTTCTTCACAACATTGGTTGAAGCAAGAGATGTGAAGGCAGTTTTCACTGGTCACGATCATGTCAATGACTTCTGTGGAAAGTTAACAGGTATACATCTTTGTTATGCTGGCGGATTTGGGTATCATGCTTATGGAAAAGCTGGATGGTCAAGGAGAGCAAGAGTGGTGGTAGTTAGCTTAGAGAAAACAGTGAATGGTCGTTGGGAAGATGTCAAGTCAATTAAAACATGGAAACGCCTTGATGATCAAAATCTAACTGGTATTGATGGTCAGGTCTTATGGAGCAAGAGTTTTGGTGGTAAGATATCTCCGGATTCTGGAATACTAGGAATACTCTACTTCCTCGTTTTTAAACTTGTGCTACAGACTGATTAATAAAATCTATCTTTAGAATTACACTTAGCGGATGCCTACAAGAGACAGAAAATGAACTTCTGTTTATGCTTAATTGTTTTCATATCTGAGTTGATAAAAAGATACACGGAATCAAATATCTTTAGCTTCTTGTTTTGCAATCAAATTAGCTTTCTAATTACTATTACTTGATTTCCCTTGATCGTATCAAGTATAATCTACTTCAAAGTTCAGTTACACATATTGAATGTGTTGGCATTACAAGATATGTCACATCAGTTAATGTCATATAGAGAGATAAACACGTTGAACTATAATTGGACAGTTTATAATCAAAGTGGATTAAAGAGTCTCAATGATTAGCAGCTCATGTACATTGGTGTGAACATCAACTATCATTCTCCTCCTATCCTTGCCCCCTTTTATCTCATGAACGCACACATAAAGATGGGTGTCAGTCTAACAAATTTCAATCATACTTGTCTTGAGAAAAGACAAATTAGTACTAGTTACTAATCCATTATATTATGCCATACTGTTTGCTGATTAACTTTGCCCGACTTTTTGATCAATAGGTTAACTTTGCCTGACTAATCGACAATGTTTAAAGCAAGAAGCTTTGGTTCTTACTTATTGCTGATACAGGCACCTTATTGTTCACTTCTTAACAGACACACTTGCACACTATTGTAAAACTTGGAAATATCAAATAATAACTCCTCATGGAAAACGATTTTGATTAAATAGATCATTGATGTTGTATTATAAGTAATTGTTGCGTTGACTTTGTATGCCAAAAACAACTTCATTCTTTTGTTGTTTGTTCTTGTTTTTATCTAACAGGAAACCGCAGGAAAAAACAAGATGGTGGCTCTTAGAATTTACAGTGATGTAGACAAATGTTAGTATCATGAAGGTTATTTTTTGGAATATCTTAGTAGGTTTTACCCATATATATTTTTTTATCATTGTAACTTGTTTATTACACGTTCTTTAACCAGGATGTAGCAATACAAGGTGGTTTGGGCAAAAAGAAAAAATAAAAGGGATGGAAGTTCATTAACGTGGTGCAATGATTGTATACTATGCAATTGCAACTGTTCGTACACATGTAGAATCATGATGTCTATGCCATTAATTTGTTCTTACGTGTGACCTCAACCTGAAAGTTTTATTCTAGAAGATTGTTGATGTAATGCACCATAAATTGAGAGTAGATTTCTACTTGTATTGTATGGACATTTATGCCACCTTATAGGGATAATACTTTTGCAATAAATTCACAAAGTTACTGCACAATGGCAATCACTATTTACTAAAATACAATTCTTCACCGTTTCTTGCCAAGCTTGACATTGGTTGAATCAGAAGAGAAACATCCTTTTCTACCAATGTTTGATGATGTTATAAATTAGATCGACAGCATCAAGTTGGAGTAAATCAAGGGTTCTGCAAGGAGAGTGAACTGCAACTGGTAACTCCAGGTAATGATGACTTTGCTGCCTCCCCTGAAATTGGAATCTGGTTTGCTATCTGAGTTGTTGCTTAGCATGATCTTGGTAGGTTTAGTGCTTAAAGTTGTTCAACGTGAACTTAGTTACTGGTGGTCAAGTATGATCAACAGTGGTGCAAAGTTGCTGCAACTTACAACTATTGAACCATATTTGTGTAATAGTGAACAAAACACAATACATCAAGCGCATGGTGAAAATACATTATTTAGTTAGATAATTTAGAAATTTCAAGTATCCTAAACATTTTAAATATGAAATTAATCTTGTTGAGGAAAAAAATCATGACATTTCATTAAAAAAAAGCTCGTGTTCTTAGTTGTCTTGTAAAGATTTAAGGTATTTATGCAATGGATTTAATTTTTTTCGCACCCTCTTATATTCATTTTACATCTTGTTTTTCTTATTATATCTCTTTTCCTTTTTATTGCATCTTTTACTTTTGCTCCCTTTTCTCGTCTCTTTCCATCTCTATCTTTTTTTTCCATCCATTTTATATTATTAGTATGCTATACTACTGTTGTTTACAGAAAATATTTAGGATTAATGAGTGGTGTCTTGAAACACATTCCATTTTCTATCACTAAAAACTTAGAACAAGGTTTTGCATGGAAACACAACTCTAGAATTTTTTGTTGTTGTTGTATGACCTCAGTCAGCTTGACTAAGGTGCTTAGTTAAAAATATGGAACAAGTCGCAAGGTGCTTCTAGCGGGATAGTTTAAGCAAAGTTCACACACCTATCCTGTAAGCGAAGATCACACTCACAAAACTTGGCCTATTTTGAATTTTCCATTTTGACTGAAATAATAACAAAAACGGGAAGAAAAAAATAAAATAAAATATATATATATAT